AGCTTGTACTGTCGATTAGCTACTTTCGAAACTGTTCAATTCCACAGCCGCGTGATAATTTGTTTATCTACAGCATATATTAATCGCGGGCGGAGACGATGTAGTGGCAAGTGGCGCACTATCTCACACTAATGGTCGGCGGTTCGAATCCCGGATCGATATCCGCCTAGGCCAACCAAGACTTCCATCCCCACGTGTTCGGTTAATTGGTACCAGACTCGTCTGGGAGGATAAAATCACTGTATTCTACATGGGCTGGCCACCGCAATTCATTGTATAGGCCACATACGCATTCAATACGCCGCTACGATTTTGAATGGAAGTCGAACGCATGGGCGCATCCCGCAGACAGGATTGATTGACGTCAAAAACTCAAACATCACTACTTGTTCGCATATCCTGATAAGACAGCTTACTAAAGCAAACCACCACGCAAACCAAGTCAGCCTTGACCCTGTGAAGTGGATTCTTTACTACACTGTTTTTTCTTTTGTCGCAGATCTATGAACGGAGGAAGCGCCTCAGCTGAACAAACACTTCTCGAAAGATAATCAACCAGATGTCACGAGTCGTATGACTGGAAGCACACACGATAGTTAACAAATTGAGCCGCTCCACGCCATCCGGTGGAATGATACCGATAAACGCGTAGGTCACATTTTTCATGTTATCAAGAGCTGATAACCGGTACCGAGACAATCTCGACAATATGAAAACAAGCTCGGCGCCTTCGAAACAATTTAATCGTAAGCAAACAAAGCATCAACTGACCAACAGAACATCACGTGAACTGGGGATGCCCCACAAAATTTCAAACGCAATGCACTGTAGGTGAGGGGGGAAGGGGTGGGGGTCGCGCACGATTTCGGGGAACGATCTACAATTGTGAGACTTCTATATGGGTCGAATGTCCCTAACAACACTTCCACATGTTTCAGCGACTAAAGAAACCCTGCCGCTTTCTGGTAGACACAGCTCATGTTATCCTTTGACCAATCCTGTTCTGGGATGTACCCCCTCCATCCATGTCCACTCAGGCTGAGTGGTGTTTCGAATGCGTGTGTAGCCTATACAGTCTGTGGAGGCTAGCCGATGTGCAAGACAGCGATTTTGTCCTCACAGACAGGTATGGTGAAAACTGGCGGCGAAGGGAAGATTGACCCTCGGTTGCTTTGGACCGGTACCGAGCTAGGATTACATATTCAGACCATGCGAGTGCACACTACTTTCCATTACATCAACATCGCCCCAACATTCTGTGTTTTTTTCAAAATCTCATTGAACAGTTCACCATAATTTTGATGTTCCCTTTTTAGGTTGAAAAGCGGAAGTGTCGATGTGGAGGAGTACGTTAGTGGCGAAGGAAACGAGAAAATCCGCCTACTTCAACCCTTTCAAAAGTAGCGGAAGTGGAGGTTGTCGAGATCACCGTGACAGGAATGGCATGTAAGGGGTGTTTGGATGAGATTCAACCTGCTCCCATCGTGCAATGGGTCATGAAAAGTTGTTCGAACTCCTTACATTGGTTCACTTGTGCATGGTGTAGTCTCTACAAAGCCGCTGAAACTCGTCCACTAGGGGTGTGGCATTCACACGATACAATTTCTGGTTCCTTATTGTGCCCTATCTAGGACGTTTCTCGCCCTTATAACGACATGGTATAAGGGGGATCCCCGGATTCATGCTATAGGTTATTCTCAGAAACCATTTTAATGGTGAACTGTGGCTTTACTTCCTACATTTTATCCATCCGAAATGTGTGTGTGTGTAGCCACTGGGTTACGCCTTTTCATTTATGTTAAAGTCTCGATAGAACTGTTCCTAAACCCTTAAAACATAGCGGCTTCTAGGCGAGGCCGCTGCGAAGCCTGGGTTTTCCCCCTTGGTTTTCACTATTCAGGAAACTTTCGACTTAAAAACACCCATGTGCCACACCTGGGGGCTGAAGACTTATTCTTATTGTGAGCTCTGCCCTTGAGGCAAAGTAAGTACTACGTTGCATTGAACTTGGAACGAATCCAGATTTTTGCTGCGTCGCAGTTACTAGGTACTTCACCCGTTGCCATCTTGGAGTACTGGAAGGAAGAGTGAGCCACCAAAAATCCACTCTCAACCATGCGCATGTGATAGGAGGCAGTTGTATCGGTCACGGTCAGTGACCCCACACAGGATTTTAGCCTTTATTACAGCTACTCCTTTACAAAGTAATCAAAAATGTGTCTGATTAGTTGTTGGTCAATGTGTGCTTCTTAGTGTTCACTCCCAGACGATTGTTAAGGAACAAGAGCGTCTCTGAGAACATAAACTGAAAGAATAGCTTTAATGGGAGAAAAACTCGAAATTGACGGATGGGAACAGATTGAGTTACAGACGACAGTATAAAAAAACTGCCTCTCAATCACCTTAGAAGGGTCCTACTCAACTTCGTTATATGCTTGCTTGAACAGCGTTTCCAAAGAGGAAGACGAAGAGGCTAACCTCGGCCGATACAATTGCGGCACACCCAGATGTAACTTTAACTTTACCTATGAAAGCTTGGAATCTAACCCAGGGAACCTTGCCTGCTGGAGTACTTGTGTGCTCCGGTCAAGAAGTTTAGGTAACTCTACTCCAGAAATGCTGAGCATACCATCAGGAGAATGTAATCTACCTTCACATGGGAAAATCTGCATTCGACTTCACAGTGGAGATGCAGCCCTCGACCATTTCAATGACGCAACTAGTCTTGAAGTATTCCTACAGAGATGATCATATTACAAGGGTTCACCTTGTCTTGTGTTATTGATAGCGCGTTTGTCGGTTCATAGTTCCTTCAATCCGTCAGTCCTCAAAATGCCACGTCAATAACGAGGTGATTAGAGTCATTCGGAAGCCCAACACCTAAAGGGTGGGTAAGTCTACTGACTGACATTGTGAGTTCAATTGATATCGACTGGATCGATCAGCTCTCGAAAAAATTAAAATGGTCATAGAGTTTGAGAAATAAGAAGCCAAATAAGAATAAGAAGCCAATAATAAGTCAATGATCAAAATCATTCAACTGTTGCCAAGCACGCTTTGCCGTGCTGCAGCCCGACTGGAGGTCAACAAATAGTTGACGCTAATAAAAGTAATATAATATTTATCTTAATACAATCATATAATTTCTAACAAATTCAACAACTCCTAGATTTTAGAAATTTCCAAGCTTTCAAAGTGCATGGTGAACAACGGGAAAAAGAATGTGAGTAAACATTAAGATCATCAAACATATATAGTACCTCATCTATGCATGGCCCAGGAAGGGCAAAACATCAAAAAAGAAGGCATTTGCAGTAGTCACAACTGAAGCCAACTGCAACTCTCCGGAAACATGTTGGGAGCCTTTACTAGATCTACTTAGCATCGAAGTCCTTGTGCAACTGACATGAAAATTCCAAAGGAGCCACCAGATTGCGCCACAATTTTACCGGTCTGAAACAAGATGCTTAGAAAGAAAATAAGGTAGCAAATAAGGCGACATCATTTTGAAGCTGTAGTTACTCCACGAAGGTTAGAAAATTCTTGGTACTCAAGAGAGCAGTCACCGGATGCAAGTCCACTGTGAATCATGACAGAAACTTTTATAATAACCTACGTAACTGATGGAAATAACTGTAATAGTGGAAAACAGAAGATTATAGTAATAGATGAAATAAAGGAGAAAACGGGTTCTGTCTTTCATACATGAATGGTATGCCGAAATTCCCATAAAGAGGAAAATTTTAGAAGCTAAGCATGTATACTGGATAGTGTTTTCTGATTAAAACCCTTCAAAATTATGAAAATTCCTTGACTAGCCTAGTGTGGAGTATCCAAAACGCTTCTCCCTTTATCAACGTATCCGAACGGATTCTCGTAGTCGCATAACAATTGCGATTTAGGCCTGGTTGCCCCGCAGTTAGTTAAAGTTTCTAACTTTTAGAAAAGGATTACAATATGTAGCAGCTAATTGAAGGAGACTCTGTTTCTTAACTATTATTAAAATCCGATTTCGAATCCGCTTCGAACTTTGCTGAACGCTTCGTTGGTGCAGTTATGGAGCTGTTTTCAGCTGAACACTTAACATCAATGGGCACGAAAGACATGGATGAAGAAAACGTCGCCGTCTCTTCGTTGGTGGCTTGGAGCAGTGGTAGAGGTAATGCCTCATATGCGTGATCCCTTGGATGAGATTTGAGGAGGGTAAAAGAATGGGCAAAATTTTTGCACTCTGCAGAGCTCTTTCATTGTGGTCTAGAGAGCTTTAAGTTTTGTCACATTCTACGCCCTTTATTCGTGTTTCAGGGGTACCTCAATCAGTAAAACCGCCACAATTCTTGTGTTCATCGATTCATCTTCAATTCACAATGAAATATCTTAATCACTTCATGAAATGCGATGCTAGAATGCGAAATGCATGAAAACACAAGAACAAGAGCAACTAATAAAACTCATCTAGTTGCTTCACAATGCTTCCATACTGTACGAAAGGGAGAACTATGTATCCTCAAAATCACCAAAAGGTATGTCATAAGTAAGTGGTAACTAATCTATTTCCTAGCAGCATAGAACTAAAACAGAGAAGCGACAGTATGCGAAGAATTTGGTAGCGAAAAAACGTGCAGTCATGCCTGTTCTGTATAGGTGATGTGTTTGAATTAGTATATGTAAAAATCCTGTTATCACAAGAGATTTTATCATCTGCTTCATAATTTTTGATCTCTGGAGGAAGTCCACGAGTACACTACCATCGGCATTGATGTAGATGAGTTCAGAGCCACTGCCCACTATGTCAACTTCAGCACCAATCAATTGCTTATCACATAGGTTTTATTGGCTATGTTCTCCAAGTGCATTGAAAACCCTTTCTGCTTTTGAGGTTCTGGCGCTTGCCAGTTCTCATCACTCAGAATCAGAAACGTAAAGTAACGCGGAAAATCTCCTGCAAACTTTGACAAATACTAAGAGCTCCTCGCTCAGGTGGCCATCAGCGAAAAGGCGAGGCATAATGTTGAAAAATTAGGTGACTGCTAAGACAAAATACTTCACGCTTTCTACGTTATTCGAGACTTCGTGATGCAGAAGCACGGGTAAGCACTTTTTTCAGAATCCCATAATCAATGAAGCATGTGTTCAGGAGCAATTATTTATGGCGATAATGAATGATTCAGGTGGAGAAAGAACCATCTCAAATAACAAAAAATTCGCAGAATGAGTTAAAACCAGCACAAAGGGTCTTCTTGACCTCAAGATGAAGCCTTGCAGAATGAAAGGCGCCTTTTACAAACCCGATGTAAACTTTCAAGTACATGGACACCCTTGAAATCACCCTTACCAGAGCTCCAAGTCACCGCTTCTATAGTGAGTGCTCACCTGAAAACACCTTCATTACCCTGTTCAGAGAAAAGTAGGGGATTTTGAAAAGCAGTTTGGATACGAGTATAGGAGAACACGTTCAGCAAAATAACTATCAACAAGTCAGACAGCCACTTCAATTTGGGATCTTTCCCTTATCAGAATGGGTTGTAAAGGGTAGTTTTCCAATTCAATCAGCCTCAAAAAACTGGAATATTTTTTACTAAGGATGACTCAATGAAGCTTTAAACTTTGTGCAAACATGAATTCGTCAGAGTATAATTAAGAGCTAATTTCGATGCTCTATATCGTTCTTGGAAATTGAGTGAACATGGTATCCAGTATCCTGCTCTCTTAAAAGTTTTTGGGCACATTAAAAATAGCAGACACATTAAACAAGGTAATATCATTCTTTAAAGCCAACTATGGGAAACCTGCCTGAATTAACATTTCCTTTCCTCTCAAACCCATCCGGAAAGCAGAGAAGCCACCAATGAGCACGCCAGTAGCGCCACCAATCATACAACCCATCATAAAACCCAAACGTATCTGAAGAAATGATAAATGGATAGAGAAAGTTAAGAAACAAATTTAAGTAATGTAAATAATAAAAACGGTAATATTTTTCATTAGTCAATCACGTTTCCGATCCGGAATTCGAACCGCAACGTGTGCGGCAAGACTTACTGTTAGTTTCGTCAAGGATGGAATCGAACGTTCCGAAGGTTCAAGCTGCCAATACCATATGCCTATTTAGACAAGCTGCAATGCATAAGAATGCGAGCGATTATTGATAAGTTATTTGCCCCGCCTGTCAAGATCAGGCCTGCTCAGCGTGTACCAACTCGCGATGAAGAGGAGACAGCCAGTTCGGCGACCATCCATCTGTTCTCCAGGAAAGGGATTAAGTGCATACTGCTCTTCACCTATGGCCTTCCACAAAATAAAGTTCTAACTAAGCATTTTTAGATGACCTATTTTTGCTCACATTATGCAACCAACGTGGTGAATACCGAGGAGCGAAGCAGAAAGCAAGTTGAAATGACGAGCGCGCTCAGCAAGTTTAATCCTCAAGTTTAATCCTGATATGGGCAAGTAACGCGATATCGACCACCGCTCAGTTCATGCGCCCAGACAACAGCAACGACTAAACTATCTAAGATCGATACTGCGCTGCAGTTGATTTCGAGGCATGCTCTGGGAAACGGATAAAAAATTGCTTAAATCAACGAGAAAATGACCTGAATTCGAAAAAAATTTCATCTAAGAAACCAACCTTTTGGAAGCATGTTGGCTGATGCCCGCCTGGAACGCCGCCCACAGCTGCCACTGGCATGTCTGAAAAAGCGTGCTTCCATTAAAATTTAACGTCCAAATTGTATCTGGCTTGACATTTACACAATTCAACTATTTAAACTTCCATGACCACAATCAGTACTCGCTCGCGCCTAAAACCACAAGGTGAAATTAATGGACGAGTTTTGCGCATGAAAATCAAGGGAGGAGTCTCGCTCATCTGCCACGCGATTTTGCGCATGAACTTTGAGATTTTTGTGAGTTGTTCATTGTGAGGCCAAACCCCACCCTCCAGCTTATGGTATATAAACATTGAAATGGACTGTGCAAGTCCTTGCTTCGCTACAGCCCGCCTTTGTAGGAAAGGGAATAGTTACGGGTTGACCAGAACGCTTCTAAAAGTTTCATTTCAGAGGCATACAGCTTCGAGAAGGATTACTACATGATTAGTCCTGGACAGTTCTATCACCTGTACGTTTGAAACAGTCATTCAGTCATGAATTCGGTGCTCGCTCTCAAGCTTCGCTCTATATTGTATCTGGTATCGTCCACAGTTTGAAGGCCTACTGGCCTTGCAGCTTTGGATGGCATTAGGTGCACTATAAGTTGAAGACCTGACTGAGTGGATTCTCCGTTGTTTTAACTTTTCGATATTCCTTTTCTGGTTCTCCTCAGTTAAACCCATTAGCTTTCAGTAGTACATTCTCCTAACCATGGCGTACAGTTTGGCAACATTCTAGTTCTTCGTGCGACGGAACAGAGTTCACCATTTCTACTCCTTAGAAGTGTATCCGATTCGATAGCATGTAGCCTGAAGATTATTTTCTGCATTACATTATTTGCTCTTACAAAGCAAGAACTCCCAAATTATAGCTTTTCGCCAAGATCTGCTAGGAATCCACCCACGTTCCATGCAGAAATCCATAACAGATACATAAGAAAAGTGAAAGCATCAATAAGGATAGAATCAAAAGGACGTTGGGTCCACTAACGAACGACTCCCAAAAACAAGATTATACGATGCAGAACTAAATAGCTATGTCGCAAAACTCGTCCGTTAACGTTTTCGGATATATATTTAGGCGCGGCACCTTGAATGATCGAACGGAAATATTTTCCGTATATATTGACAAGATGTGAAACGAGGTGGACATCCCACAAACCCAATCACACGACCATGAGTTTAAATGAAGATTTATTTCGCGAATTACGAGCTACCAATAACACCAGAATAACCAACAATAAAGGAAGAATAGGCAGTCATCGAAATTATTTTTTCCCCTTCATGGTGGTGATGTGATCACGATATGACTTGAACGTTTACTCTTGACCGAAATACCAGCTAAAAACACAAAGAAAGTCCACTTTCAATGGGAAACGTGTAAAGTGAAAAATATTGCATAATGTGTGTCGTCAGATGAAAGAGCACGTACGCATTTGCAGGGAGTACGTGTGATCTGTCGCTGACGTCTTCTTTAATTGAGATGCCATTTGCTGATCCATTGCTACGTCTGCTTAGGTACCTAGTTGATTCAAAATAACAACTCCAATCGGAAAACGAATCCTTTAGGGAAGTTCAGCTCCGCAGTAGGCTGTTATAGGCATGAGTAACTTTGAATTGGAAACACTTAGCTGCAGCAGTTCCCTGCCCAACGTTACCACCCTGAACCAAAGACTATCAAAGGTTTGCTAACGATGGTACTATATGGATAGGTGATGCTACGTAAGAATCAGGCGACATTTACGCTCTGCGGCCGCATTTTCCTCGTAAAACGGGTGGATTCAACCCTTCACAACGTGTTCGCATCCCCAAACGTCTTTTCAGATTTCGAGGTCCTTTCAGCTGTCTTTGATGGTGAGCGCATATGGGGAAGCACACTTAACGCGGTTGTGCCTAAACGACGGGTAGCTGCATCTATCAGGTTCAACACTTTCATGCCCTGCAGCCTTTTTACTGATTAATAACAGATGTTTTTATATAGAATGATAAAAATGGGTATCCGATTGGTAGCAGTAGAAGAATACTAGATCAACTCCGTTTCGAAAATGCCCATCAGTTTCCCTTCATTCAGAATCGCTGTTGCGTTTGATTGTCTATGCGGTCTTAAGAATGTTTTGCGGGGCCAGCCAACTTAAGAACAGCTTATCCTACCACGAAAGCGTGTCAGCAATTAACCTATTCCGGGGTAGATGTCTTAGATGGCCTGGGTGAGTATCGTCCAGGCCAGTGGAGATCTTGTTCCCATCTTCAGTCTTCTGTTCTTCGATAATCCAAGTGAAGGACGGCAGCATGCTCAGTGTAGGACAGTAGAAGGAGAAGCCAAATGATTGTTGAAGTGTCAGATCCAATGAAAAATTGTACTGAAACGCTTTTTGGCGACAGCCGTTTCCATTCAGATCATTTTCATCGCGTTCATGTTTCGCCGCGTACACTGCGCTGTTCATGTAAACTACTGACTGCCGTTCAAGATTCGGAAGATCGGCTAAATCGGCTAAAAAGTGTTAGACTAAAAATGTAAACAAAACCAGGTTCTGGTAAATTATTCCATATATGGTTGAATATTAATTGTTCTGAGGAGTCGAGCAGTATGGGTTATACATGCGAATCTAGATTCGGTATGGAGGAAATAATGGGTGGTGAGTCAGCAGAGTCAGTTGATGGGGCCGCGAACGGGTGCGATTCGTTGCTCGCGTGCGGCGAAACTAGGTCACGCCTCAGCCGTCGCATGCGGCGGGTCAGCCCGCGATACTTGACGGACGTCGCACGTCAGCGTTGTCAGTAGGACATACGATTCGCACTTGGTCCCCAGCAGTCAGTTAAAGAGAAAACAATACGGACAAATGCAAATTAATCGCTCCACTGACACTTGGTGGTACTGTAATGTCATGTGGAGACCTCAGTGGGGTGCGCCGCGCTCGAAGTTAGCGAGCTTACCTACTTTCAACGGACGCGCGCAACGGACATTCTCCGCTGCGAACTGATATCGAGGCTTCACAATAGGGAAACGCCAAATTGTATTCGAACTGGCCACAAAGTTCCTGCAGAGCCCGATGCATAATTCGGGATCATTTACCGATTCCATTGCTATCTTTTGGAGTTGATGGGGCAAACAAATTACCCCTGCCTCACCCTGAAATAGGTAATATGTCCCGTAGTTGAGCTTTTTTAGAATGGAGCTTTCTTCAAACTTCCAATGTTTTCTGTTAAGCTCTATAGCTGTTCGCACTGATATATTGAAGTTTCGTAAAACTGTAGAATGATCTGGAAAGAGGAAAGTGAGTCCTGTAAGAAATTGAAAGTACTTACTCTTCGAAGGTCGAAGCGAAGCTGTGGTTAGTGCCCCAGAAGTCAAAAGATTCGGAGCCGCAGTTGCTGTAGAGGATTCGTTCGGTGACATTGGCTGCTTTCATAGTCCGTGGCCCGGCCGGCCGGCGTGCCACGAGGCAGTGCTAGGGGAGAGAAGGGCAGCAGATGGTCGGTCGAAGGGATGAAAACAAAGAAGAACAAGATTAAAAACCAAACAACCAGGGGCTGGTACAAATGGTTAATGATCTTGTCTCTCCTTGTTTACAGCCCTTCTAGGGGCTGACCTACCGTCTGCCGCCCCCCTCCCCCCTAGCACTGCCTCGTGGCACGCCGGCTGGCCGGCGGACTATAAAAGCAGCCATTGAACACAGATTTCTGCGGGGCGCGAAATGGTCCGCCCTGCAAATGCCTGATATCACTGCTCATTAAATTTCTACTTTCAGGAAATCGCTAGCAAACATCGCAAAATGCCACACGCGTAGTATAAAGTTGTCCACTTTTCAGAAATCTGAACATTCCTTCTACGCTGAACATTTTCCCTCCCTGAACAGTGAGAAGTGTACCCAAGCCCCTGGGTGCTACGTGGTGCCATAGTAAGACATGCATTCGTTTTTTCTGCTCGAACTTCTTTTCGTCAGAAAGCATATGAAACTTTCGATACACATCTCGACATATTTCTAATTGATCGACAAGTACTTCCGAGCGGAGTACATAGCAGAGGCACTCAATTTGGGAACCAATTTTTTATGCTTCTGCTGATTTCTCGGCGCAATCTCATTCTCTAATAGATGAAATGAAGGGAATTTACACGCGGAGGGTGGATTAATCTTGCAGTAAGTACTTTGAGCATAAATACGTAACTCGATTTTACGAAGGCGTGGAGTAAAAAAAAATTAAAGGAAAGAGCAAGGCCTTATGCGTGGTGGGTAGGCACAGAATTAACGAAGCTCCGCCCGTGGAACCACTTTCAAAAAATGTATTTGACTCTGTTTAAAAGCGTCCTGAATCTAGTATTCTAGAGCGGTTTAGAAAAAGTGATTAGAGTTATAGAGGAAATTTGATCAAATCAAAGACTATGATCGTGGAGTTATTTAAATGCATTCCAGAAAATTGTAAAAACTCCCAAGTCTGGGCTAACCCTGATGAACATAGTTCCGTCCATTTCTAAGTCGGTTCCGAAAAAATCACAGCTTCTATGGTGTCCGGACGAATATTACTCTTTGACGATCCTGTTTCAGGCTGGAAAATGTTTTTTTTTTTTGAAAAACGTCTCATATTTTCGGATTTCCCAAGGCTTTGTGACTTTAAAATGAAGTAAAAATTGAAATAATAACTTTTCTGCATCAGCACTCTCGTATTGTAGCCCAATGAAGTGCATAAGCCCATTGCAACTTGCATCTCAAAGTCAGCGTACGTAATGCCGTAGTGATACCTTTCAAGCCATACCCCTTGATGGACCCTCTCCTTCCTGACTGATGGCTCCGCTGTTTTCTCTGTTTCGTTTTCTTCGCAACCTAACCCCTTCATGAACTTTGTGATATGAAAATAGACCAGGTGTTTATAAATGTGTGGTGTTGTTGTTTTCAACTGCAGTAGAATGCAGCAATTTCAAAATGATGAACATGATGCCAGTGAAGTTCACTAACTTCTTCACATCACTCATGAATGCTCAGTGAGTCAACCTTATTTTTCTTCAGATAGGTTCATTTCCATCTGATCCGGCTGCATGAGTG